TGAATTTCTTAAAAATAAAAAATTTAGCATTAGTTTTAGAAAATGAGAATGAAATATGTTCATTCTGTGTTTGGAACGCTGAAAAATGACAACTGAAACTGTATCAACATCAATCCATATTGTAGGATAATATCTTTGACTAGTTAGGTAGATTTCAGTTTAACATGATTGAAAATTACCTTTCAAATATGGAAAAATAAATTTGCACGAAAAGATTTGCTTACCACGAACACATCTAATACAAGGAAAGCTTACATTAGAAGCATGAGATGGGAATCGGATGGAGAGAACAAGTTTAGGTCATACAAAACTTCTAAGATGAAACTTACCAATTGAACAATTCTCCGGTCAAAATCGATTGAAAAACTAATTGATCTCGTAAACGTGCATCAACCAAGAATAAAAGATTTTGCAAATTGAACTATGAAAATACAATGTTGCAACTTAATTGCACGTCAGTTTATGAAACAACGTTGGAAAAAGAGCAAGAAACTCATGCAGGACATTCAAACATCTAAATTAAAAGGTAAGAATGTGTGAGGAACATATTAATGCTGGCAGCAGAGTAGGCTCACATATATATTTTTTTTCCTATCTTTTATTTTATTTAAAATTTGTACAATGACGATTGTGGTAGCAGAAAAACTTGTATGAAACGGGGAAATCATTGTTTCACTATTCCCGAACAATCACAGTCGGACATGTGAAAAAATTATTACTCGTGACATATCGTGATTGATCAAGAATAACAAAATAATGCTATCCCTATCCCGTTCTATATAATTGTTTCTCATGTGGTAGACCCAAATTGCACATGATTACTGATTTCTGAATTTTGGCTCAGATATTCATATCACAAAGTGAAATTTGGGTGAATTCTACATTTTAATCTGGCCAAGCAAAAAGGGCTATTCAATTGTTGGCAGAACCCACATCAACTTTCTACATGGTAATTTAAATGAAGTTTCCAGGAAGGAAGGAAAGAAAGAAAGAGACTGCAAAAGACATGGTAAAAGACATGGTAAAAGAATGCTCACAGAGCAGGCTTGAAGCCCCTTTATTTACCGCTTTAACCTTTGAATTTAGACCCTACAAAACTACACCAAAAAAAGAAAAAGCAAAAATGAAATAAAAAGAGTCAAGGTCACAGCTGCAAGGCTGCAACTGAACTGGAGCCAAGTAGGAAGCACAAAGTAGGGCTAAAATGCCACGTGGGGGACATGCAAGTGGGGTGGCCATTGCGTGAGAGGATGCCAAATTTCCAGTTCTTCCTCATCAAAAAGCTTTGACCTCCACCAAACCCTTTCTATTTGAGACGAGATGAGCATAGTGATAGTGTACGCATCAAGATTCAAATGCAACCAAGCAAATAAAAGGTCCACACAGTCACATGAACACATCACATTTGGGGATAAGGACACTTTTTTTTTTTCATGGCTTTTTGTTTTGGGAACTGATGATGAGGAGTTGCCATCTAACTGGGATTGATGGTGAGAATATATGATCTTTTATGCCTAATATTTGTGGGGTCCTACATGCTCTTGGCTCCTTTCTAATACCACGAATTGTACTGATATTATCGTCAATTTCACCCCTTAGGTCTATATTAGAGTAGAGTAGATTATGTTCCGCGTTTAGGTATAAGGTTTTATCTCAAAAGTTCGGTGCAAATCTCATACAAATCTTTGCTTGTGGGCGGTTGTGTTCACCAATAGTATTGCGAATTCATTAATGATAATAAATATGTTAGACTGTTTGATAAGAAAAGAAATCAAAAAATTAGATAGATGTTGGAAGTAAGATCGTTTTCACTGGAAGAAAAGTTTTTAATGCAGGTAGCATATTAAGTGGAAAATCCAAACTAAAAACGGTAACCATGGATATTTCTCAAATCAGAATGATTGTGATGGCATTGGCATTGGCAACCGTATGATATGGGACCATTCTCATGATTTCATAATTTTTGTCAAGTACGTATATCTGTCTATAATTTCAAAGCGGTCCCCAGAAAGTGACGAAACAACCCCTCAATCTTAAATGGCCCTAGCTACCCTTACCAGTGACCACACCTTAAAGTCAATGTGCTACCACTCGCACAAACCATAATGAAGGGTAAAAATAAATATGGAGTTTACACATATTAGGTGAAAATTCTGAATAAGCATATGTCTTCATCCTTTATAAAAATTCTAGAAGGTTAGAATACTTTATAAAGTGAGTCAAAGGTCCCTACAGTACTTTAGACCCTTTCCCAGTTGTTTTTATGTTAATATATTACATCGTTTTATAAAATAGACGGTTCAGATCATTATATTATAATGCACCACGATGATGTCAATTTTATAACTTGGGGATGTAATGTAATCCCTGGAAAATGATTGGTTTAGATCTTGTGAGTTAGTAAGTTTGTCTTGTTTATTGCATAGGACACAAGTTTTGGGAGTTTGACACAAACCCCACATAAAGTTTGGCCGCAACAAATACATTCATTATATGACTCCAACCAAGAAAATCATGATTGTAATCACAACTTTGGCATTTTTTGCGCCACTTTCTTTGAAGATAAAAAGAGAGCCCCCACCATTTTCTTTTCCTGGTCTCTCCTCCCTTTGCCCTCTTTTGTTGTTGAAAACGATGACTTCATATCCATGATTTAAGTTACTTTGAATGAGCCATCACCTATGTACATGTATTATTATTGTATTGAAGAGAAGATGCAATACTTTACGGGATTCACTTAGATAATCTTAAATCTCGTGCACATGCATAATGTTTCATTCTTTAGATTCGACATGTTTTTTTTTTTTTTTGTTGTCAAAGTTAAGAAGACGTGAGAGTTTTTTCGCACATACACTATCAAAAGGTGTCATGAGGATTCGAACCTCAGACCACTAATCTGCAAGTACGTAAAAATACAAAGTGTCGGTTGTGTAACCTCACCAAATTTTGGGGGAAAGTTGAATGGAAAAGGAGGGGGAGGGACGAATCGAAGCGATGCAGGGCTAAATCTCAATGGATCGTGGCAGCAAGGCCACTCTGCCACTTACAATACCCCGTCACGTATTGACTATACTCGATTAGCACCATTTTCTTTTCTTAAAAACTATTTGTCATTTTGAGTGATTCATGGCTATGGCTTTTATTGGAGAGCCTAGACAACGCTAACCGGACCTACCAATCATCTAAAAGGGTAAATGGTGATGAATAAGCTTTTTTTCCCACTTCCACCTGTGATTTTGATTGATTGCCACAGCTGGTTTTTATTTTTATTTTTATAAGGGTTGTAATACTTATCTTTTATACACAACTATCTTAAGAGGTCCCCAAAGTTGTGACGAAAAAAAAAAATGCAAATTAGAATAGTTCCCAAATGGGCAACTTTTTATGAGTATTGGTTTGGGCTCACTAAGATTAGAATTGGCCCTATTGGGTAAGTCCCATTTCCTTGAAAGATGGGCTCACAAAGCCCAGCCCTGAATGCTGTTTAGTTACTGCCCCTTTGTACAGAAGCCATTCAAGTTTGCCACCTTGCATTTCAATTTCAAGGAACCATAGGCCTAGTCCATCAGTTTTCTTATGTCCAAGCAAACTGCCATTGTGGTTTGAGTTGAAGGTTCCAACTTGATGAAATTAGAATTTTTGCCTTCTTTAATTTATTTATACAAGCGATATTGGGGAAGGATCGAACCAAAGACCTCGGGTGCGGGGTGAATGCTCTTAACCACTTGATCTACAACTCCCTTGCTTTTATTCCCATTAAATTTCCTTTTTACTCCACGGATTTGAGCTCTGTTTTCTTCCCCATCTGCCCTCAACCCTCAATCATTGTTTCCATCCATTTTCCTCGAACTCTATATTTTTCACATGTTGCTCAATGTTTGTGATAAAAGCATCACGTACGTTTCAGTGAAAAAGCTCCCAATAGCCATGTGGTTCTCTAGTCCCATCTCTCATTTGGAACAATGAAATTGGACCCATATATGAAAAACCAAACCAAACCAACCCTACCTTTCTGTTCCCGTTTGTTCTTCTATCATTCACATCATTTCGCAGAGCAAGTGAAGTGGGGTTCTCATATTTGGTGACATGACTGTTCTCTGTTCATGATTAGGTTAAGCATAGCTAGAAAAGTCTGCATGTTGCCTATGGAGCTGGTACATTACATATCGACTACATGTTGCAGGTGGCTATCTATCTGCCTCTTTCTTTCTTCAAGCATCGCCATCAGTGTTTTGCCCTCAAATTGAAATAATCCCTCAAATTGAAACAATATATTAACATGGGAAGGAAATGTGTTTAAGTTTCTTTGTGCTTAAGCAAGCTTTCGTGAGAAGAAATGGTCCAACCCAAAGCTTTAACTAGAATAAGCAAGACTGCCCGACTACTTAGCGAGTTAGTTTTTCTTTCGGGATAAATGTATCGATAGCCCATTTTAGGCCTATTTAAATAATTCATACTAATAATTATTGTGTGGTATAGAAATACTACGTTCGCAATTAGACTTAATACTATAAGACACATGGCAAGATGTGCTTGATTTTGGTCCCACATTTGAAAGTATACTAGATCACGTATGTCATTGCCTCGTATGTGGCTTCTTGTGGGTGAAGCAAAGCCGGGATAAAATCAACTTCTTAAAGGTAAGATTTCTATAATTTATCTGTGACAACCAACCACATACCGTGGGACCCATTTCCTTGTATTCATCAAACGTGGACGGACGAGATCCATTAGCGAAGAAGACAGAATATTCAAGATTCAGCCACATAATATCACACCTGGAATCTTAAATGTTCAATCAACAAAACCCCCCAATTTAATCCTTTTAATATTTAGCTTAAGAGCTAAGGCTTTCAAATGGGCCCTGACTTACCTTACGTGTTCGCACATGATAGGTCCAATATATGTCACACGCTGGCCGTGATTTTAGACACTGCTTCTCCTCCCGCCACGTACGCAAATCCTCGGCGGAGTTAATGTGAGGATGTCGTCAAATCCAACGGCCGATAATTGTTTAATTCCAAATCAGGACATTTTAGCGACTCCAATTGCTCAGTGTTTAATTCCCGCTATTTAAACGCCACAATAGAGGGAGAAATAAGAGAGAGAGAGTGACTGAGCGAGAGGAAAGCGCTCTGTGTTTCAAAAAAAAAGGCAGGCGAATTAAGAAACGCTAGAAAACGAGAAGATCAGCGACCGAGGTTTCGAAACGGGAGGTTTGTTTTTGTTTGTTTCGGAGATTGTGAAACGGCAGCGTTTTTGCGATGGCGGAGCATAAGGAGGAAGTGAAGGCGGCGGAGTCTATGATGGGTAAGATAGCGGACAAGATCCACGGCCACGATTCGCCAGTGTCGCCGGCGTTGGAGTCGCTGCACGGGAAGGCCGAGAAGGCCGTCAGCAGCGACCACGCGGCGTCGTTGAAGGCCAAGGCTTACAAGCTCTTTGGGAGGGAGAAGCCCGTGCACAACGTCTTCGGCGGTGGAAGAGGTACATTTCGCGATCGAAACGTATTGTTTGTCGCTAATTGATCTAGATCTGGAGAATGGAGCTTGTGGCTTTGATTGGTTGTTAATTTTGATTTTGTTTAGTTACAAATGGTCCTTAATTTCTTCTCTGATTTGATTGGTTTTTAAAAAGGTTTGCTTTTCATGCTTTTCTAGTTTTGCTAATCAAACTAAGACTCTCAAGCTAATTATGAAAGTGAACCTTTATAATCATATAGTTAAAGACGTATTTAATTACGTGGGTTTTGTTTTATCATCTAAAATATTGCGAATTTCTGAGAGCATGCAATTGATAAAAATTGAATCTTTATTATAAATGTCACAGCGGCTGATGTTTTCCTGTGGAGGGACAAGAAGGGATCGGCAGGTGTTCTTATTGCGATAACGATCATATGGGTTTTCTTTGAATTGCTTGGATACCACCTGCTGACTCTGCTCGCCCACTGCTTGATTCTTGGCCTTGCTATGTTGTTCTTATGGTCCAACGCTTCAACCTTCATTAACAAGTAAGCATGCCTTTGATTTTTTTATTTATTTTTAATTTCTTCCCTTTGGGTTTTGATAGTCTCAATTTTATCTGTTTGGAATGGTTCACTTAGCGCCACTTGTTACATGTAGGTCTCCACCACGCTTTCCAAAAGTTCAAATTCCAGAGAAGCCGGTTCTACAGATTGCGTCTGCAATTACAATTGAGATTAACCGGGCTTTTGTTATCCTGCGAGAGATTGCCTCAGGGAAGGATCTGAAGCAGTTCCTCTCTGTATGTTTATTGCTCTATCTTTTGCTTTCTCTGCCTTTTTTAATTGATGGTGTTCATGTTACATAAATTCTACCTGCTGCTATTCATGATGATTATTTAATTGTTTCTTTGAAATTCGATTTGGTTACAAATCCATCGCGGTATATATGAATTGCAATCTATATTTACGCTTTTGGTACTTGCTAATGGTGTTATGGGCGATTAGGTGATTGCTGGCTTGTGGGTTTTGTCTATCCTGGGGAAGCGGTACAACTTCTTGACCTTGGTCTACATAGGTAATGAAACTAACAAATGTACTTATCAGTTATGACTTGCATAATGCCATTTCTTTCTACGTGTGTTCTTACCATGCTGCTGATCTTTCTGAACAGTTGTTGTTTTGCTCTTCACGCTGCCTGTATTCTATGAGAAATATGACGACCAGGTGGATGCATTGGCAGAGAAGGCAATGATAGAGATCAAGAAGCAGTATGCAGTGTTTGATGCAAAGGTCCTAAGTAAAGTTCCTAAGGGGCAAATGAAGGACAAGAAGACTTAGACTGGCTGCCGTGCGGGTGGTTCTATTTGCTGACATATATTTGGTAGCTATGTTTCACCAGGGTGTTTTTCACACTTAATCCATGATTGGCTAGGATCCTCCTATCCATATTCTAGTTCTCGAGTCCCTTGGATTCACAATGTGGATGATTTTGTGGTTGTTTTTTTGTTCTTTTTTTAAACTTGTTTTTGCTACATTTATGATATTTGTGTGTAACTTTCATGGATGTTTTGTTGTGTGACCTGGTGATCATGCTAGTAGATTTCAAATTAATGATTATTTTGTAAATTGGGTTTCAATTTCAATTGTTTTTTTGGCTTATTTGGTTTGGTGGAATGATTTGCCTGGTGAGTGTTCCTAAAAATCCTTTTTTGGGGGATTTAATAATAGTCCTTTCCCACTCTTATCAGAAATGAAATGATTATAATCTTTTGACATCTTTTACCATTCATCATTCTGCCGTTAAAGTGAAAACAGAAAAATACAATATTCAATCATCCATGTGTTTCTGCATGGGAAGCAAATCATGTCCGGGAGGACGATAGTTAAAATAGTCATCCTCAGATTATTCAAATCAAATGTTGTACTTGCTTGCTCTTGAGTAAGTGAAAATCAACACCATGTTTAGGTGAGGAGAAATGTGTCGCAACTAAATTTCTCAATCTCTGAACTACGTACTTGAAACTTGCGAGACCAATATTACGTGGCTGACATAAAAAAGATGTTGGGTAATACTCTCAAAAACCAATGCTACCATAGCAAAATCCTCAAACAACACTTTGTTCAAGTAAATCGATAATATCGACATAATATTGATACTTTATTTATGTCATATCAAGAAGCGAGATTTTCATGAAATAGGGATAACACTATTTTACTTTACTCGGCCAATAATGCTATGACACAGGTGTTAATACTTTCACGTGGCATAGCTTTATTGGCTACGAATATCAAAACAGTGATATCCCCCTTGCAACTAAGTTTTTCTCCATGTCAAAACTATATGAGATAATTTACTTTTGAAATGATGGAATATCCACAATATTGATAACATAGAGAGACTAAGTACAGTGACGAAGCCAGGATTTCATGTGTGTGGGGGCCTCTTACAAATTATAAAGAATCAAAAATTCGAACTCACAATACATACGAAAAATAGTATATATATATCACATATGTTAAGAATTATATTGCTTATTGGTTGCAATCATAATTGTCCTCAATAAAGGGATAGAAAACTACATTCTGAGCAAGAAAAATTGCAAGAGATAGACAAATAGTAGCGATTTAGCAAATATCTTTAAAGCTTTTCCCCCCATTAAACCCAATAGAAAGAAAAAATCAAAATTTCACAAACTAAAAAAAACCTTAGGTCCCTTCATGCATTCATATCATACATGAAAAAATGTTTTATGTAAAAATATTGACTAAGTATGAAAAATAGTTTTTCGGAATAATCATTTTCTCAAGATAATTTTTGGCGGCTTTTATTCCTTACACATCAAATAAGAAAACTTGATTTTATGGGATTTTAGTATGAAGTATATATTGACTTAATGAGCCATCATTTTTAGCCTAAATCGTATTTTGCACTAAAACCGATTTTTCATATTTTGATTTTCTAGTATTTTTATTTGAATCCAAATAGGGGGTACTTCCTTATTTACATTGTAAACTTAAGTAAATGGAGTAATATAAAAATAAATTAAAGTAAAAGGAGAAATACATTTACTTAAATGTTGAAATAAGGTAATCTGTATACCTGGAGTGCACCACTACCAGCTAAGCAAATGGGAAATTTGAAGCACCTCATTATGCCTTAATAGGTCCTCCACAACACATGTGGGTACATATCAAAACATAAAGTATTTGAAATAATATACATATACAAATACATAATAGTATATTACTTTTAAAATATTAAAAAATTGAGTAGGGGCCCGTGACCACACCGGTCCCAATGTGGCTCCGCCCCTGACTAAGTAAGCTCTTTCTATATTAGGACTTTACTATTTGCTATAGTGAGAACTTTACTACATTAGTAGGAGTTCTATTTCCCAAAGATGTTTTGGTCAAGAATGGGTGGCTGCCAGGTTGATAGCTAAGCTCTTTCTTTTGCTCCCTGACTTCCATGACTTACGCGATTAATAACTCTCTTATTGGAAAACCTTTGATAAATCACAGTTTTCGAAGCCTGCTTTGATGCTAATCTGCCTTCCATTCTTAACAACAAAAATAAATAAATAAATAAACGTGCCGGTTTGACAACTACTTTTACAATAGTTGATCAAATTACATAATTTGTAACACCATTGCTATATGGTTAGTGTTTCTTTTTTTTGCCAAACATTGTATGATCAGTTTAGATGACCTAAAAATATGATCTCTTTGGCATTACTCGTGTCGATTATTGCATCGCTAAATGTAGAGAAAAATTACTCATATGAGAAGGGGACGGAAGCAAGTCTGGCACAAAATAGTGAAAAGCTTCCTTCAAGAGTTCGAAAATACAGACTTTGAAACTTCAGAATTTTCGAATTCTTGTTTGTCTAAAGCAAATCATAACAATTTCTCTGCAAGAATTTTTAAAAAAAAGAAAAAGAAAAAGAAGAAGTGAAAGCTTTATATGGTTAGATATCTAAACACTCAAGGCATTCCGCCTATTAATATTACACATGAAAATACAGCTGCTACTAAAGTTTGTTCTTAAACATAGTTCACAGCAGTCCAGATAAGGGATCATTTTCACACCTTATTCACAGAATGTGGCAGCAACACAAAACCAAGTAGCGTTCTAAGCATGTCCTTTATAAACCCTAGCAGATTACTAGAAAGCTCATTCCCTTTCGCTTACTAAAACTGCCTCCGTGGAAATGCTTCAGTCGAGTTTGTTTGTTCAACTCTTCAAGTTTGGCCACTGACTTATCTCTGCCAGGAAGAACTGAAGGAACAAGAAGGGTTTGTTGATACTCAAAGCTGACTGAAGAAAATGTGTAGTTTTTACAAACAGTCTCATAGGAAATAAGTTAACTGCTCTCTCTTTCTCGAACCCCCTTCCCCGTATTGGTCATTCCACTGCTTCAATTCATTCATCATGGCTCCCTCAGATGCAAAGCTAGCTGCAACCTGCATTCCAATAAATAACAACAATTAGAGCTGATGCTTGAATCAATAAAGGGTACTAAACCAATCTGAATTTCAAGAGAGAGAGAGAGAGGGAGAGCATACCTGACTTTTTGCCTGCTTAAAGTCTTCCATATTTAAAGGCCTGAGGGTGATCACTCTTTCCTCTTTATGTTCTTCTGTTGCTGGGACAGCTTCTGGATTCTGCCCTTCCGAAGACTGGGCTTGATTTATACTAGGACCACCTTGTGGATTTTGTCCTCCTGCAGCTCTCTGCTTTTTCTCCTAAAATAAAAGGAAGGAGAAGAGGATCATTGATCATTGAATAGAAGATACTACAGCACCAGATTTAGCCTTGGTTAACTTCCTTACCAGATCCTTTTTTCTCTCTGCTTGTATCAACTCCCTAACTGGTCGATAAGCAGCTGTTGTACACAAGTTCTGTGCAAAATAAATGTCACACTCGATCAGACGTAAGTACACATCAAACATCTAAACAACCAAATACATAATCAAATATGCTGACCTTAAGATCACTTCCACTAAATCCTTCAGTCATAGTTGCCAGCTCCTTGAAGTCTAGTCGTGCTTCCACCTTCTCTTTTGACAACAGAGTTCTCAAAATCATTTCTCTGTTCTCCACAGTCGGTAGCCCCACCAAAATTCTGTTCGAACACAGAGCGTTATCATAAGCAAAATTATGTGAGCAATTTTGATGTTACACTTTCATTGATAGCAATATCCCACTAATATTCACTACAGACTTGTTTGATCTGGCAGCATTAAAAGTTATCACAGATGCATTCGTACCTCCGTTCAAAACGCCTGATAATTGCTTCATCAAGGTCAAATGGCCTGTTAGTAGCAGCAAGAACAAGGATTCGGTCTCCTTGATTAGACAAGAGCCCATCCCAATGAGTCATAAATTCATTCTTTATCTTTCGCATGGCTTCATGTTCTCCAAATCTTGTCCGCTGCCCGAGCATGCTATCAACCTCATCTACAAAGATGATGGTTGGAGAGACTTTGGCTGCCAGGGTGAACAAAGCTCGAACGTTTTTCTCATCTTCACCAAACCATTTAGAGGTAATGGTGGACATAGAAACATTAATGAAGCTTGCTCCAGCCTCCCTGGCAATGGCCTTCGCCAGCATAGTCTTCCCACTTCCAGGGGGGCCAAATAGCAATATACCTCTACAAGGCTTTAACAGGCCTCCATTGAAAAGGTCTGGTCTCCGCAGAGGGAGCATTACCAATTCCTGAAGGGATTCTTTAATCTCATCCAAGGCACCAATATCAGAAAATGTTACACCAATCTCATTTGCTGGTATGACCTCTGGTCTTATGCGCTTCTCAAATTCATTATCGAGTTCTGCCTGTTAAGTAGTACACAGTGATATCTCAATATCAATACCAATGGAAAAGTTGGGGGAAGAGAGAATAACATAATAGAATACTGCAAAAGTATGCCATCTATATATGACTACAATCTACAAGTAAAACTGTTCATGAGACCATAATATATACTTTTCATGTTTTCTTCTAGTATGTCCTTGTACGCGTTTGTTAAATAGCTACGATGCAAAATACTAGAAAAATTAAAATAATGGTGACTTACAGAAGCTCTTGATATTGGAATTGGATTGTCAGCATCTGTTTTTGCCGCTGAACTTAATGTCTCTGCACCACTTTTGTTTTCGGGAGCAGCACATTCAGTTTTTGTCTCTAAATTCACACCAACAGCCCCTTCAATTCCTGCTTCCTGTGATTAATGGAGATGAACCGGAGAATGATTAAAATAGTACTCCATCCATTTTCCTTGAGTTATAGAATAATACAAACACTAGTACAACAAACCTTAAGTGTTTCAGCCTTTGCTTCCAGCTTCAATGTATCTTTGCCACTATATTTGCCCTCCTGGAATATATTTAATCCATGGGACAAACTGTTTTACAGCGAAAACAGTGTGAGTCCACAGAATGTGCATAGTGACACAATCATTAAACAAAAAAAAAACCTTTACCTCTTGGACGAAATGACTAGTTTTCCATTTCTGTATTCAGGATCTTTGTTATTCATTAAATGATAAGAAACTGCTGATACCACAATCTCTTCTATATAGTTACTAATATCAATTGTGTCTGCAATGCAGATCGAACCCAGATCATCGCAATCAAGATCATTAGATGAAAGTACTTCCATGATGTGGTTTTTGTTATCCTGAACCTGAATCATTTTCATATCTTCCTCTAGTTGAGTCTTCCAGCTGACAAGATGGGATTCATTTTCAGGAGGCCTGATTTCAATGTTGTAAGGGAAAAGAGCAGTAAGCCTCTCATCAACCTCTCTGTTGTCTTCACCCAGATCCACAATTCGTGAACCAAGGATCAGCACAGCTCCAGATAATTTCTTCAACATTTTCTGGAACAAGTTGTATATCCTCTGTGATCTAGATAAGAGCTTGTCAACGTCCCTAACATACAGCACAATGGGGCAGGTATTTGAGACGAAAACCAAAACCTGAAAGTATATACAAAGTTTATTTCAGAGACCAATATCCTGGTAGAAAAATACATGGAAAGCAGAGGAAAAACTGTGTACATAATCATGAGAAAATGCATGGTAGCATGTTGTTGACCGCTAAAAATACAATATAGCACAAAAAAGCATCAGTAATTACTCTGTACAGGGACTGTATAAGAAGCTTCTCATCAAAAGACCAGCTGCTTGTGCGCCTAAGTGGAGCTAGAAATGGAAAAGGTTCATTAGAAACAGAGAGAACAGAAAGAGGAGGGGGAAAAAGTAACAACATACCATTGAAGAAGAACTTGAAACCACATGTTCTCAGCATAAAAAAATCAAACATATGTATGTTTTTGAGTTAATTCAATGTATATCAAAATTGAATTTCAATCTCTAAATAATTCATTTAAACACTAAATCAAATAGAAGTTCCTTTTTTTGTCTATCGAGGCTCCAATATAATTTCATCACAACCACTTGATCAAATCATAGGCTTTTAAAGATACATTGTAAATAGATTTTAATACATGAACTGTAAGGGTAACCAATAAACAGCTAGCTCTCTCTTGCAATAAACAGAAATGAACCTGAATTTGCGGGAGTGGACTGAGAAGCAAGGTTACTAATATTTGCTGAAGCAGAAGCATTTCTACGAAGCCTTGAAGGATTACTAGAACCTTCTACCATACTACAAGTACAGGTAAAAGGTATTAGTTAAAAATATGATTCAATAAACAAGTCGGGAACTAACATATATCCCTTTTAATCAATCAAGCATATCCTCCAATACCTTGATCGAATATCCACACCACTGTTTTGCCTTCGTAATGTGCCTGCAAGCAGATTTCTGGTCAGAGCTATGTCGGACTGGATAATCATAGAATATTATTTACAAGGAAAATTGCATATAATGTTCAGAAATTCACCTACAAATTATCAAATAAATATTTTCAACAATACCTGTGGGTTCCTCCCTTTGAGGAAAGATTGAAAATGATCCAAACAGACCAGACAACCGCTCTAGTGTCACCTCAGAAGTGGACCTTTTAAAAGACTACACATACATGATTACAATTTATAAGTAAATAAACAGCAGGAAGTTAAACAGGCAACTCATAATGAAAATTCGGAAGCATGACAATTTATGATACAAACATATTTAAAACTAAGTTCAACTTTTTTACACAAAAAGATCTGAAGAGGGATGAGAAAAACAAAACATGCAGCATCTTATCAATGTTCTCAGATGGATTCTACTGACGGCATGATAATTGCACACAAGAACATACTGGAAATGGTTTAAAGAAAGCTTACAGATGCTTTGTTGGAACTGCCATATTTGCTCTGAATCTGTACAACCCCAGCCATTATAAACATTAGCAGAAGATAAAGCAGACACACACACACACACACACACACAAACATACGTATATATTCTATAAAACTGCCGAGACTCACCTTTAGAGAAAAATTTGTCACATCTAAGAGCAACAACTTCGCCTGGAAGTAATGGGCTAAAGCCTTGGCAAGTTGTTGTTGGTATAGTTCTTCAAGATAAAAAGGGAGGGAAGAAAAGACCAAAACAAAAAAAGAGTGATTAGAACGATAGAACATGTAAATACAAACACTGAATGCAAGTTTGCAGATTACATACCAGCAGGCCCTGAGAGCAAAATAGCCCGACTTGCGGGAGAAAGATTGCGTGTGTACTTCGAAACCTCAGCGCGCTTGAGATGGACATAGGCAGCACTGGTTATCAATACTCGAGTCTGTTCACTGTAAAACCATTCAACAACTTAACTATGTTAAACAGTATTATTATATATAAAAGAATTACCAAATTTGCTCATCAATTTATGTATTAGTATGTCTGCGAGAATCTTATCTAAACAATAACGTTCAAGGTGAATCCAAATTTCAATAAATCAAATACTGTCACATGTCACATCATTTGGTGAACAAAACTTGATAAACAAATTTGGTGGATGCACCAATAAGAATCTAAGTATCTTATATGCTATGATGCCAAAGACACAAACTTTATCAGTCAAATTTGGTGAGAACCCAACAGCCAGAACTAGACTATCATTCTCAAGGCTTCAAAGATGACAAAAAGTAATTAACTTCTTAAAAATATGAATATCCACTTTATGTTAAACAGGAATTTGAGGAATATTGGGAAGGTGGTGACCTGAGGTAGTAGGGGAATTGGTCGAAGGTGACCTTGCTGTCTCTGCCATCAACGATCTGTCGTAGCAACTCCTGCTCGACCCTATCCGGCGTAAGGGCATTGGAGAGGGTGTCGTTTCCGGCCCATTTGCTCATTGTCTGACCCGAAGCCAACCCAAGCCCAACTCCCACTCCCATCCCCACACCCAAAGCCGACAGCAAAATGCCTTTCTGCTCCATCTCTCTGTTTCTCTCTGTTTTTCTTGTTCTTATTTTTCTTTTAGTTTTTATTTCTAGACACTCTATGCTATCAAACAACGTACACAAACGAACCCATTAGAGTTTCGTTGCTAAAGAAAACCAAATTCACCACAAAACTCAACCTATCTGTAATTTTGGAATATTAACCGCTATAATCTAACCTTCAGAGTCCCAGAAACTGATCGAACCCACAAAAAAGCTTCAAACTTTCGTTCAAACAAATGCTCAAAAGCCTCAAATTTTATTTCTTTGTAAAAAAAAACTCGAAAAATGGTTTCTGGGTCGGACAGAGTATTGAAGAAAACCCGAAAACCCCGAATTTTCTCAACCTCTGATCTCTTTCTCTGTTTTTTCTTTCATTTCTCTTTCATTTCTCTTGTGCCGTCTGTGAAAGGCTTGTATGTATGTGAAGACCAGAGAAAAGGGTCGCTGCGAAAGAAGTGGATCGCCGGGAAAAGAGAAGAGGTGGGTTTATGGCGGCGGAGAAAGAACAGTTAGTGGTGGTGAAGAGGTTTGGTTCCCGCTTTTGCAGGCCTGTCTCTCGGTGTTTCTTCAAGTTTTTAAAGACAGAGTGGTGGGTGTCACTGTACGTGTCACTTTTTGGAGGGATTGCGTTTCGGTTTGGACAGTTTTTTATTACTATTATGGTCCCTGGGATTTGAAATCTCTTTGACGCTCACTTTAAAAATTTGGAAAGGAAATGGGGTCGATGCAAAAAAATATCTCAATTTAAAGAGTCATCATGCAGCCTGATGAGCCCAAACGGGCGAAGACGATAAGCTTCAAAAAATTTGGCAACTTTACTTTGGACAACCTCTATGGTAACTGCATCTGTTGAGCACTCATATCTTGACCGTTCAAAGGTAGGTTTGGGCCCCACCTTGGTATGGGATTCAGATGGGGGTGACGTTGGACGGCTGTGATCAACTTACTAGACCACCTTAGTTTAGCATGTAGCCATGATTTCAATGCAGGGTTAGGGTATCTGTTGGATGTTGGTGACTGGCTCGTTCTGATATATATGCATGGGTCGCTCGTGGAGTGCACATGTTGGGGGGTGTATCAGACATTTCCTTGCATGGGATGTAATCGTGGTATAATCAACATGTTATGTGCATATTACATTAATTTTAATTGATGGAGACAATTAACACCTATACATGTAACAATGCTCAAGAAAGAGACTTCTCCGCAACCACTACAAACCTTTCTCTTGCTAATTAATCACTTTATCCAGAAAGACTAACATCATGATTTGCACAAAGATTTTCTTCGAGCTCCACCACGGTTTGTATATGGTTAGACTGGTAACATTGTTTGCACTTATCCGAAAAGATCTAAATGAGCGTCTAAATACAATTTAATTTGTAAATACACGTCTCTTTATTTGTCAAATTATGAATATAAACTATGCGTTTAGACAAAAATTAATACCCTTAGATGGTTTGGATTTCAATCTAAACTATGGAAGAGAATATTTCCCTCGTGAGGTACAATGGCAAGTTGATATCTTGTATTGGGGGCTGTGTATGTACAGCCTTAAGAATAAGGCCCTCTGTTTTTTAGTAAGTCTCAAAGGAGAAGAACGTGTATGTAACGGAGATTGCACTATGTAATGGAAATTGCACTATGTAACGGAGATTGCACTATTTTGTTATCTCCAATCAATCATGTGTTATCATGTAAAATAATTATCATACGTGACAGAACACAATTAGTTAAATATATAGCAAAACAGTGCTATCCTTGCGATATACAAGTTTTTCTAAGCCTCAAAGAGCGAAGGCCTTCTGTTTTGCCTTTGGTTTTTTTCTCTCCAACAGATTGAAAGTTTGCTAGGGATAGCCTTTTGTTTTTCGCAACAAGATTGAAAGCAGATTCCATTGGAATCAGAACCAGCAAGAATATAGATACCACCACCACTATTATGCAATGCGGGGTCATATCATGTGGGTTGTAGGTACGTAATTATAGTATAAAGGTGCACCCGCACCACTGTATCTGAGCCACAGCAAAAAATGGCAGACAAAGATTGCCTCAGTGTGGATAATCCACTACAGCTGTATTCGCACGTGACATGGAGACATGAGGAATAAGGCAGCAGAATATTGTCATGCAGTGCAAGTAGCTAGCAATTGGGATGGGATGGATGGGATTAATCAGTCCGCTGGACAAAACAATCCTATTTTATGGTCTGCCAGTACAAGCCCATAGGTGACTTGTTCTTGTATCTGTATCTTTTGGATTCAAAGTTGGCTGTTTGTTTGCATGACTGCATGAACTGAGACCATGGTGACTTGAAAATTTTCTGTTTGGAAAGTGGGAGAAGATGTGGAGCCAGAAAAGATATCATGTTTGATATTTGGTGTCATCAGCTTGATGGAGGAGGCACCAACTTGTTGTGTCTCATAATGTCTGGACATTGTCATTGAATTCAATGTCCCCAGTAGCTGCAACTTGCAAGTATGTTTGATTTATATGCACTGTGAATGGGATACACAAAAATCGGAAAAGAAGAATGCAAGTGGGAGAAATGGATTATTTTGATTGGCAACAACTTTGCCTTTCTGGAATTATGCGACAGAGACACTTTGGCATGGCTTTTATGCAACATTTTTGTCCTGAGAAAGAGTAGGCCAAGCGAAAAAAATAAAAATAAAAACTGTAAGGAAAATGTCAGAAGTGGGATTTGAACCCACGCCCTCGTTAGAGGACCAGAACTTGAGTCTGGCGCCTTAGACCACTCGGCCATCCTGACTGATGTTAATACTCATCCTCAATTATCTTTATAAATCATTACATAAGAGCTCTGAGACAAAAATTTAAAAACAATTTTGAAATTCATTATTTTTTAACTTCTGACTCACATCTGTTAGAGCACTTCCACCCATTTTTCATGGCAAAGGGTAAGGGGAGGTAAGGCCTGGCACTATTCACAATAGTGTCAGCCCTTGCAAAAGGCAAAGTGTGTTTCCACTAGGAGTGGGCTCGGTCTGGGTTGGTTCAGTTTTGGGCTCAATCTAAACACTGAACCGTAGGCCTCCGTTTGGCTATTTTGGAAACCGAAATCAAATCATAATTGATGAAAACCGACCACTTCGGTTAACTAGACTTGGTTTGGTTCGGTTTGGATTTTTTGGCTTTCTAAGAGAGAGAGAGAGAGAGAGATATATATATATATATATAAAATAATAATAATAATAACAGCGATGGAGAGGAGAAGAAGAAAAAAGAGAGAGAGGGAGAGAAGAAGAAGAAGAAGAAGAAGGAGGAAAAGATTGAAAAAAAACATAGAGAGATGGACTGATGGAGACAAGATAAACGAAGAGATGGAGAGAGAAGAAAAAGAAAGGATTGAAACATGTATTGTATATATATTTCTCATAATAACATTATATATAATATTTTTTTAATATCATCGGTTTGGTTTGGTTAAACCGTGGTTTTGAATATGGCAAATCGTACACCAAACCATATATTTCAGTTTGGTTTGGGTTCAAACCGATGACCAAAAAATGATTGAAAAAAAACCAAACCAACCCAAACCGTTGGTTTGGTTTGGGCAGTTTGACCTGGTTACCGATTTGAATGCCCAACCCTAATTTCCACCCATTGCCATGGCAAAGGGCAATTACTATTCACTTTAAATTATTTTTATTTATTTTTATACATAAACGATTAATTTTGATAGGGTTTACGGTTTTGGTGTGAGTATGGCTAGATATTTATAATTAAAAAATTCTGAATTTTTTATATATTTTATTTTAATTGACTGCTGATGTCATTATGATGTCAGCATTATGTCACTTGCCTAGGTAGCAGCATGGGCTAGATTTGCTTGTAGATTTGCTTGTGGGCTTGCCGAGGTTGGTGGGCCCCAAGCCTTGCCCAGGCTACATTTGGCCACTGAAACTGACAAACAGGCCTCAGGCCCCCTCTTGACCGGGCTGGCCCTGAGCAATGAAAGTGCTTTTATTGAGCACTTCCACTCTGGCAAAAGGGGGCTTAGGCTCCAAAAACAACCCCAACAAAGGAAAAGTTGCCATGGTAAGAAGTGGGCCCATGAAATTGGGCAAGACTTGTCTGGGCTGCTGCCTGGGCAAGCTTGACGTCAATGACCAATTTAAATACCAAAAAAATGTATTAAAAAAAAAATTAAAAAATCCAGAATTTTTTTTTTCTTCTATAAATATGTAGACATATTCTTTACTTTCCATACTAAAATCCATACAAATTCGTATCCTCATATTTCATGTAAATAGTGGTTACCATGGCAATGGGTGGGAATGTATCAAAAATTTGTTAAGGCAATCACTATTCATGTAAATAGTATTTTTCTTTACTTGCCTTTACCCTTTGCCATGACACAATGCAGTGGAAGTGCTCTAATATATTTCATCTCCTTCTCCCCATCTCTTTTACTAAAAATTACAAATATAAATGTCATTAAATGGGCCTTATGTTTCCCCTCTAGTTATTTTACATGAAAGTATATATCATTGTTTTTCGGCAATTTATTTTATAATAAGGTGTATAAAACGATATATGTTTCTCAACCATTAAATCAAATACATATTGAGATGCACTGAAAAAACTTGAACTTGTCGTTATAGGAACTAACTTACACAATAATAAATTAAATTGAAAATTGCATACATGGACTTAGTCAAGTTGGTTAGAGCAAATGTGTTCCCCAACCTACGCCCGAATTCAAATCCCCCTCTCCATAGTTTAAATTAATTTAAAGTTGAATATCACTTGTATTAAAAAACAAAACAAAACAAAATTGAAAATTGAAGATAGTTTGGATGCAGTTAATTCAAAAAACTCTTAGTCCAGATAAGGCAAGTCCAATATAAATTTTGCTCAATTTGATGTTTGCAAATCTATAAGAGGGTTTTTAGTGTAGTTGGTCTTTAGTCATTGAGGATAATTCCATTTGCTAAGTCAAATAAAACATTTACATAATAAAGGGCACACCGCGTACTTACTATACTCAGCAGCCTTAGCTTTATAAATTAATAGTCTATTCTACAGGCCAGTGAGAAGGGAATTGAAAAATGAGGAGAAAATAAGACAACAATGTGGTCATCAGACAAAACTACAAGAGCTTTGCTATGCCTCTGACTTGAAGATCTTCTTGGCCAAAAGAATCATTTCTATCCATTTCTCTTTTCCCCTGTGTTATCCATCTTACATATGAACATAGTATCATGCTGATCCTCTTGATGATAAAGGATTCGACTTTGATGATCAACCTCTGTGACTTCACATTAATTTAGTGTACATGAACTGCAATCTGCTGAAATTTGTTTAATCACTGTCACTGACCGAGAGCAAGTTGCTAGTCTTGTTGCGGACCTCTAACCTCCTGAAGGATTGCAAACCATAAATTTGGATGCTTCTTTATGATCCGATTGGCCGATGAATGAATCCCAAAGAACAAATCCTGTGCTTATTTCATTAAATCCAAAAATACAAAGCCATTCCAAAGGCTATGCAAGAGCATTGATGGTAATAGGTTCCTTGACCGTGCAAATATAACACCCATCACCACCCCAAGAAAAATAAGCGGTAGCATCCTCTGTACATTAAAATGCGCTAAAGCAAACACAACCGAGCTCACCAGTATTGCAGACCATACGGGCATGTACTTGGTCAAGGAAGGAAGTAGGAAACCCCTAAACACTATCTCCTCCCATACAGGAGCACACACCGAAACTACTACCGCATACAGTGCCATTGCCACTGGATCACGTGCCAAAATTGATTGCTCAACACTTGATATTGTGACAGGGGTGGAAGGCAAAAGAGGTAGTAGGTTGAGGTTGAACTGTGAGAGCCGATTGACCAGGGGAAACATAAGGCATCCAAGAGCAACATCCAACTGCCAGGTTCCTTTCAAGCTAAATTTGAACCAATCTGGGGGAAGCGGACGGAAACGAGATAAGCAGCGATAAAGGATCACAATTCCAGCAAGACCCTCGGTTACATCAGTCACCAGGCTAAATAAGGCTTGTCCTCTAAATGTTAATGATTCCCTGCTGAAACCTGCCAGGTGAGCTGCAAATGGAACCATCCAAGAACCTATGAACCAGAAAGCTACAACCCATAGTAGCATGACCTGCATCATGTATATCACATCAACTTTGCCAATAACAAGGGGCAAAAGTCTCTTTCTTTATAAGTCCTGGTTATTAAGACACCTTATCTTCATAATTTTCCTTTTTCTTGTAAACTCATCCATTAAAAGTAGATGATGGATGTGACAGCTTGGAATCCACAACTGTCGCCTAGTCATATTTAAGTTTCATCATACACTATTGAAACACTTACCTGCATTATGGTCTCTGCTGTCCATGGCACACTCCACCGACTCCCAATCGCCCTAAACACTGCATCTGCAGCCTGAAATTTAAACCCCCAGGAAAGAAAAAATGAGAACCTCGATGCAGCCTGTGGTATGTTTTTTTGGATCAAAGTAATAAAAGTGGTTACAGGATTTTCCTGCCGTATTAATAAGATTCCATTATCATGTGTGTATATCATTAAATTCAATTAAACAGCAGAGCAAAAACGAAAATGGAACCAACATCCTAGTTTCTGATGGAGGTAAAACTAGACCATTTTATCTCCCTTTAACATCCTGACAATTGAAGCATAACTGTAAAGCAAATGCAAGATAAGGATTTGTCCTAATCATAAACCCTAGTCTTTGTTGTGGATATATATCCCATTAAATCAACCAAACATCAGGTGTTTACTACTGAATATTAAAAGCTTAGGATACCTCCATAGGCAGATGGCCCATGAGGCGATTCACTCGCCAAAATTCACATACCGGAAAAACAATATAACTTCTTGTGGTATTGGAAACAGCTAGTCAAGGTGGTTACCGCCTAAAATTTCCATCAAATAATCATATGTTCATACTGCATGAACTTTTTCATTCACCTTACTATAAGTCAACTGCAACTATGAAAGTTAAAGAACTTCATCTAGGCAATGCAGTGCATATTGCCATAGTCTTGAACACCATAAATCTTCAGCCTACTCTTAATAAAAAATGCTGCTTATCTATCAGATGTCAGATCAAGTGATGTTTCATGGTCTTAAACTATTTCAATGGTAAGGTTTATACTCAATTTAACACTTCTACTTTCAACAACCACACATATAATGTAAATGGATCAACAAGGCAGTTAATCAACATGTCAGAAACCCAAACTTCAATCCAACCCCCTAATAATCTCAATAGTAACTTTGATAAAAATCTCTATGTTCTACAAACTATTTACTATCCACTTCTTGTACATACTACAACAAGAACAACCAGACATTCAAACTAATTGAATAAAGTAATAAAACAAGGAAATATGACCTCTCGAAGAGTGAATCCCCAATCCTTTTTAACCACCTTGGAATCATCGAATTCGGACTTAACGACTTCCTCAGGCACCAAGTGTCCAATATAATCAGCTTTCGGGGTTTCTGATGAAGAATCCTCTTGTCTAAAGCATGAAATTCTTGTCCATCTCTGCAAATAAAAAAGTAACCAAACACACAGAAGTGAAAACTACAGAGTACAAATTAAGGGCATAACACAAAAGAATACACCTCTGGTTTAGCTGCCCATAAAGCAATGGAAAACTGGAACAAAAACAAAAACCAAGTCCTACCCTTTTGTACAGCTCAATTAAATAGTCAATAAAAAGGTCCAAAATTTTCAATTTTTAATACATTTCTCGGCAACCAAGCAGTGAACAGACTGCAAATTATCGACATAAATGAAGATAAACAAACAAGAGGGAACATTAATTACCGTGCTGGAAGGCCTAGAATGAGATTCGAAGATCCTAAAACTCCGGGAAATTGGATATAGAGCTCCGGGTCGGGTCGAAACCCTAGTTTTGGGGGCAGATGATTGAAGGAAAGGGCGGCGAATAAGAGAGTGAGAGCAAGTGGAGCTCAACATGTTGTGAGCGAATTCTCCAAATTCCCAAATTCCGTTTGCATCAGACTTCAGAGGGGTTTTTGGGTTTGAAAGTTTTCTCTTTTGTTTGGCAGTTGGTTTCCCCCAATTCCCAGATTCTCAGGGAGGGAGAGAGAGAATGGGAATAGGTTTCTCAGAAACAGTGGGAGAAAGAAAGTTCGGGATTGGTTATTGCACAGGTGTTATAGGGCTCATCTCATCTCATATGCCTGCCTGGGTTTGGTTCGGGCCTGTGGCTGCTGGCTGAGTAATTTAAGGGTTTGAGGGGGTGTTTGGATACATGGATAAGAGTTTTTCCAATTCCCAGAGATTCTGGGCAATTGGGATAATGGGATTTTTATCATATTTTTATTGGTTGTTGGTCATAACTCAAAACCATGGTTGAAAATTGCACTTTGCCTACCCATTCATGAAATGATAAATGATAATTGGGTTGCCTTTTTCCCACGGAATTTTTCTTTCTCTGACCGGACTAACTGGCTGGAGTGCTGGACTACTTAAAGATAAACCAAGGAATTAAAATATAGGATTAGGAGTAAGAACCCAATTTCCTCTTCTCAACTTTATGGATTTTGTGGTTGCCTTTGCTTGCCCTAAAACAAGGGACGTTTGATTTGAATATATGATATGGGAAGGGATTATAACAACTTATTACATCACATTCTCAATAAGGGTTTGACTCTAGTTCTTTCTTTTTTCCCAAAGGTATTAGGGATTCTAGAGTTGGAACGTAAATTCATGTATTATGCATAAGTTTATGATGAATGGTGAGTGATAACCCTTTCAGTTCATTTCTTCATCATCTCTGATATCAAACTTAGCTTAAAATTGATGAAGATTTTGAGTTTTATACCGCCATCAACAACACATTCCCACAACATTCATATCATATAGAATAGAACAGCAAGGGGGAAAGTGATAATAAAAAGATATTTATAAACGTCAATGAATTTTCTTTTGTAATGAATGTCACAGACCGATCCTCCAAGCTGAACAAAGTTATTTGGACAGGGTTCTGTTATTTGTACACAAAGTGCATCAACTCTCAATCTCCCTTCAAATGAAAAAAGAAAGAACAAAAAATGCTACTTCCAATTTTCCATACACGTAAACAAACCTGAATTTGGGTTTACGAAACAAAACTTGACATTTTCGGGAAACGCAAGATTTATGTGGCTTGAAATTTTGCGGAACCAATTAAAATCCTGCTTCTAATGACAGATTGAGCATCTCTGGCAAATTCAATTATTGAGAACCACTTAGGCCTCAGCAGTAGAACAACCAACAACTTGGCATTAACATGAACCCCCTCCACCAATGCTTTGTGCCAAGTTAGCAACGTATCTTCCAAATAGCAACAATCTGAATCTATTCACACAAGATAAAGTGCTTGAAACTCTGGACAAAACAGGAACCGTGCAAGTTTTGCTGCCAAAATATGCATCTTCACAAGATGTACCACCAGAGGTTTGCATTAAACAATGTAGTTCATTCCCACCTTGATTAAACAGATATGAGGAATGTTCAAAGCAACAGCAGGAGATCGGCAGTTCTTACGTAAGAAAGAGTAGGCAACATCGATAGCGCACTTCTTTATGAATGACGAATTCCATTTTGCCTTTAAATACGCAGCGCCTATTACATATGCTACCCCAGCATGCTTTGCTTCCACAAGTTCCTGGAGCTGTTCCTTCACACGTGTATCCTTGCATTTTGCATCCATCAACCCAAACCGAGCCCGCCTCCAATAGTTTAGTTTTGGTGCTTCTTGCTCATAGGTGGCCTGCAAGTTCTGCAGTGTGTTAGACTTGCCGCTGCTCACAATAGTTGAAGAACTTGAACTGCTGCTTTCTCCAGGGCCAGAAGTTTGTGACATAAACAGTGCTGTGCCAAACTTCCCAGATGTCTTCACAACTGCCATACGGCGATCTACAGCACCTTCAGGAGTTCCACAACCTTCTGCTTCCATTTGAATGAACTCCGCTATGCTCATCACCACATCAATTTCAAAGTCATCTCCATTTTTAAAGACATCTTTGTATCCATTCCGAACCATACAGCGGTACATCCCATAAGATTTGGGACCAATGCGACCAACAAGATACCTTTCTTTTTGGGGTACATAGGGAACAGGAACAGTTTTAACGCAAACAAAGACAACCACTTGGTAAAAGGCTGGTAAGTTGGTTAAGAAATGAGTAAATGTTGCTGGGACTCCCGTAGCCAACTCAGTGTAGATGAGGCCAATCCCTGGGACCCTAACAATCCCAAGACTAGGGCCCAGCGTGAGTATATGCCTCATGGAAACCTTGTTATGCAGGTCATACAAATACTTCTTCCTCGTTCCATATTGCCAGACATACATAACTACCAAGAAGACTGCAGATAGAACAAGGGGAAACCATCCACCTTTAAGGATTCTCATACACGAAGATGAAAGGTAGATGATTTCAACTGAACCAAAAAGTACACTGAATAAAAGGGCAAACATGAAACTCTTATGCCAAACAAGGCTGATTCCTAGCGATGTCAACCACGTTGTTATGATTGTAACAGCCAAACATGCAATCCCTGATATTAAGAAACCGAGATAAGCTTTAGTTTACAAAATGAAAGAAGAAACATGACAAATTTACAATATTGAATAGATCTACTCTGTAATGTTTTGCCTGGATATAGATATAAATTAAGATACTGGTAACAGCTGAACAGTCATGACTCGTGTCAAGGTTAGGGCCAGTCCAATAGTAGATAAAATATCTCAAAGCACCATGCAAAGTACAGGAATAATGGATGGGATCATTGGCCATCCAAATTTGAAAGGTCCTTAGACGACATAGGTTCTTGCTATTTAAAAGAATTTTGCGTTAAGCATCTACCTGGTACTATTCCCTACTGAATCTAATAAGTAGCCCTTCTGAAAAGAAAAAAAAAGGCACAATATGCAGAATTCATTGAACTGGCATTTGCAACGGTAAGAGCAGCTTATTCTGTCCAGATAAAGTCACCCATCTCCCAAAGAACCACATATATGGTTCAGATAATTTGGGCGGACAAGAAATTATGATTCAAAATAAAACTCTGTCATGATTTACCTCTATTTCCCAGATGTGAAATTGATTTCTCAATAACTGTCACATATATATGAGCACGTATGAAAGTCAACGCAATATTTGGTTTCCATAGAGAACACTGACATGTTCTTTGATGGACTTAACAAGTATATGGCATGCACAAACACCAACCAATAAGGAAAATAATTTTATCTGATATTGAAAGGTATTTTAGATAAAAGATGACATACCATAAGCATTTCCTATATAATTTGTGTCTCGAAAACCGATTGTGACACCCAGACTGAGAATCATAAGAGACCAGTTTATCTCAGGGATGTATATCTGACCAGGGATCCGTCTCTTCGTATGTACAACCTTGACGCGAGGAAAACATCGTATTGCATGCAATTGCTTGACTACTGAGAATGTGGAAGAGATAACAGGTTGACTGGCAACAATGGCAGCCAAAGGTGCAACCACAAGTACAGGCCAAATTAAGGGAACTACAGAAAAGACAAGCATTCTATAAGCTAAACAGTAGTAATTCTTCACCGATAAATCTTTTAAAACAAATAATGCAAGAATGCTCAACAAGCTTTACAAATCGAAGTGTTAAAGGGAGATGGAGGCTGTAAAGTATGCACATTACTGCAATCATTCCAGAATCCACAATCAAGTCCGGACAGCAATTTTTCTTTGCATATCTAGAAGCTTACCTGGAATAGAAGCATAAAAGCTCACAGACGCTGCAGATAAATTTTTTGAAAGAAATGCAGCTTGTCCCATGTATTGAAGTATTAGACATGGATAAATGACACAAGAAAATGCAACCTGCACATATCAACAAGAGTTAGTTTTTCCCTAGCTACGTAGAACTGTTGATATATGCCACAATCTTCAACATTCTACATAAATGGCAGGGTGGGAACACCAATCCATCAAGGATAGAGTGCAAATTCTCCAGAAAAAGACCTACGTACTCAATTATTTAGAAATTTCCTGGAACACGCATAATGCTTTAATCACCAACCAGAAATGAGAGGTGCAGAATTTACATATACTCCTGCCAGTTAAGGCTGCTCCTCAGAGCAAAACAAAACAGTCGAATTGTGATTTCATATAATGTAACCACAAGTGGGTTCCTGCCTTAATATTACTCTGTGTGGATTAAACCACAGATAGACCACTTCAAATTTTCATGTATTTCAGGTTACCATATTTTAATCAAAAAAATACCCTCTCTTTAAATCAAATACTCTGAATGCAACACTTTAAAATCAATTTCTGAACTCAAATTTATTCTAAACCCAACTAATTGAGATAAACCATATGTTTTCCACCACCTCAAAGTTACCATGGCTTGATTGTATTGTACAGAAAATTTTAAGTATGCAAATTTAATGCTTAAACTGCATGTTTTATCCTTCTGGTTGACCTATGACTCCTAGAAAAAGTTTCATAACAATTTACTTGGTAGTTCCATTTCATCTCAGAGACACATTGAGCACATCAACATTTGAAAAAGAACTACATATGCGGACAATAAGTTTCAGTGTTAATGACAATGTACTCTATCCCACAGTAATGTCTAACTTTAAAACCTGTTCTTCACACCATGATGGAGAATCCCAAAGCAATCAGCCTTGGGCCTTAAAAGCTCTTAAAAATAAATAAAACAAATGCAAAAGAACAAAAAGAACAGAAAGATAATATTTTGCATTGCGACTTCCTTGCACAAACCCACAGCCTAGCATGAACTAAAAGACCTAGTCTACAATTAGTGGTCCTGCATACCCTTATTGGTGTTGCTCTGAAATGACCAAGATCCGCAAACATGGATTCAGTTCCTACAATTGATAAAAAAACATTACACAATTATGAGAAGTAGACATACAGAAAGAAAAAATGTGCAAGTGCTCTACTTACCAGTAATACATAAAAGTATTCCTCCAAGAGAAATCCAACCATCTTTTCCTGTCCTCTTAAAGAATATGTAAACATAATATGGAGAAAGAGCCTGATATACTCTTGGATTCCACTCGATGATATTGTAGATTCCAACAGCAGCAACTAACAGTACCCAAAGGATCATGATGGGAGTGAATATGAAGGCCAACTTGTGGATACCACGGTGTTGCAAAACAAAAAGAGCAACTAATAGAATACAGGCAATAAGAACCACCACACCTGGTTCGTGTAGAAGTGTTAGTAGCTACAATGGCATCAGATAAATTTTAAGAGCAAGGAACATTTTTACATGGAAAAACAGGTAGTTCTGCAAATTCCCATCCCCTATCATTTCTACTTTCCCTCTTGCAACTTTCTTGGTACGATGCCGACATCTCAGTCTAAGAGACCGGGACTCCTTTCCATAATGCATCTAAGTAATGCATTGTGGACTCAGCAAATGGAAGTGGGTGCTCAGCAAAGTTATAAAGCTAAGACACTACTAAGTATATACATGTCACACTACTAACTATGGTTCTACTAAATGTTCCTTTCTCATCTGATAATTTTTGAACTAGTAGATTCAACCTTATTTACAGATATCAGAGACTGCTAAGTATACAAACATAAATTATGTTTGGGCTTGTAGCAAGACCAGAAAAGCCAGACAACCGCTCAAGCTCATTACCATAACCTATATGTATATTTCGGACAAATATAATGATTAACAGTTGAATTTTATTATGATAATGTAACATATGTATACATATATTCTACTTTTGGAGAGGAAGACTCACTATTATGCAAATCTTTCGCTTGAAATTTTAGCCCTTCAACAGATGCAAAAACTGCAAATGACCAAACACTTCTTATTAGCACAGGTTGCTAAAGAGATAACAAATGGCATAAGGAGCCATGTACAAAAGTACAAAATCAATCAGTGCAAATCCCACTGCAATATTTTAAAGGATCAAAGGGGTCAAACAAGGACAATTTACCCGATATTGCAGGAGTGAGGATACCAACACAAATCACCATGGAAGCTCCAAATAAAACCAGAAGAAGTAAACAAGTTTGGGCACTTTTATGTCTCTCAATAAATCCTTTCAATGGTGAAGTGGGTCTGTTCGTATTGGAACGACCTGGGTAACGATATGTAGAGATCTCCTCATCAGCTGCTTGATGATTAGGCAGCAAACAGAATTTTGCATTTCTGCAAAGGAGTGCGTATAATGCGATAAGCCCACCTGAAAATGACCCAAAACTACAAACATGAATCCACAAACAAAGAAAAGGGCTGGCAGCATCAGTGACAAATGTATCAGCTCTTACCTTGACCATTATCGTCGGCACTCAACATGATAAAAGCATACTTGAACAATGAAATAAGAGTAATAGTCCAAAAAATCACCGAAAACACCCCAAAGACTGCATCCTCGGTTTGGTAATGGAGCAACCCTCCAGAAAATGCACATTTATAAACATAAAGAGGAGCAATGCTCAAAGCACCAAAAACCAAACCAAAACTCCTATACACCAAAAAGGCATTTTGTCTACTTTGACCTCTCCAGTCAACCTGTTAAAAGAACACACCGTGCATAAAGTTGCAAGCTTTAAAGCTAAACATAAAGCATGTAACTATTCAAACACAATGCATACAATAAATTACTCTTAGTTGTGTATATGGTAATGCTCTATTTGAAACCTAAAGTTCATAGCCCCTTTCATAATTTGTTTTGGGTTTCAATATAATACTAAAGAAATTAGGAATTTGATTGTGCATGATGAAAGTCAAGATTCTTTGCATAAACTGAAGAATGGCTTGGTTTCAAACAATTTCTCGTTGATTTTTCTCGAGAAACAAACTGAAAAGTGAGGGTTTTTACCATGGCCAGTCGGAGATGTACCTCTACGATTCGCTATGTGTCCTCCTGGCTTTTGAAGCTTAAGAAAATGATAAGAGAATTCAAAGCACACCAAAAATTTAAAAGAAAAAGAAATTAAATTTTAGGGACGGTGATATGTGTTAAGAGGTGGAAATTATCGAATTCGAAAGAGTCGAACGTTGTAAGTTAACAGATCCAAAGTGTTAAGAGTTGAAAATTATCGAATTCGAAAGAGTCGAACGTTGTAAGTTAACAGATCCAAATCTGGCGGGTCCTCTGCCGCCGGGATTTTCTCGGTGTTTCGGTTTTTCTGTTTCAGTGGGCCCTGCAAAGCATAGAATGCCGGCTTTGCTAAAAGTCTGTTTTTGATTGGGGTGCTAAAAGGTTTTTTGCAGATTCATCCTCTGGAGTTTACGAAATTACACTCTTGGCTCCCCATCCATTGAACTTAAATTTAATTATGCAAATGGAAAGATTCCTTTGTTGGATGAGTAAGACAAGAAAGTTTTTTTAAAAAAAAAACAGTAAACAGCAACGATCTGGAGTGCCTCTATTTCATGAACCATGTGGCGGCAGTGATACGACCAAAAAAATAACATCATGTGACAGTGTTATGGTGGTGCGTTTGTAAATGCACCGTATGTATGAGAGTGTTCGGTGTTATTCACCTTTTATTTCTTATTGAATGTTGACTCTATTTCTTTGCAACAAAATTCATGGAGATGAAATATTAAATGCTGAAAAAAAGGATGAAATATTCACCATTCATAAGAAATGGGGATGAACCATATGACAATACATGTATAAAATTTGCAAGTGCAATATTTCTTTCAGAACCTAAAAGCTTGCTGTTCACATATAAAATTGGAAATTTATAAATAACGTTATCCTGAAGCAATTAAAATGTAGCCAAAATCTAAATCATTACATTTAAGGGGCAAAATGGCCAAATACAGGGACAAGTAGGAGGACCACATAACTAGTATTTTGATTTTGTTCTCTTTTGCATGAGGGAGTTGGGCTTAGAGAACTCGCATATGCTCTTACATTGCACCACTAAATTGCCAAAAGGAGAAATCTGCCATACACAAAGAAGTTGAATCATCCGGCAAACTTATGTAAATCAAGCTTCCACTAAAGGGCAGGCGAACGACATGCAATCCCAAGCAGCTAAACTGAGATTGAAAATGATTTCTCAACCCGCAAAATTAACAAACCGGTCACGCCAGGAGTATATCCCAGCAAACACTGTGTTCTGTCTATTTTCTTCGTCTGTTTGTGACCAACTCAGGATCGCCTTTCCTCATCATGGCTGCAAACTCATCATAATTAATCCTTCCATCCTGCAAATAATTTGGGAATTCATTAAGTGTGACAGAAACATTCAACAAGGTTTTGCCAAAAGACAGGATATGAAAACAAGAACACTGTAGCAATCAGCCCAGTTTGTTAGTAATATGCGATGGTGTAACTACGAGATGATTGACAGGATTCTCTTTGCAACAAAGAAATTCACAGAGACTGTCTGATTTAATATTTATTTTTTACTAGTTGGTTGTGTCACTTATTTTTGGTACTAGATGCATTATCAGAAATTTGGAACAATGTCCTGGATTTTCTGTTCAAAACATGAGAAATTTGCATTGCCCCTCTCCCAGTACTATATGACCATTCCAGTTTTGGTGTCTACAACAATTGTGTGCCCTAAAAACAACAGTGTGAAGTCTTATCCCAATATGATTTCAACATTATATTGACGAAAAAGTCCAGACCCTAATCCTTCAGTTGTCACAGTTTCATTAAAGTGTATTTGTTAATCTCCCATGTGTAATATAGGAAAGAAAAATTCATCTTAGAAAAAAAAAGAGAGTTGAAAGAAGAAAACATATATATTATGAAGGCAAAGAGATTATGAACGTACAAGGTCTGTGTCAACTTCCGCAATGATTTCCTTAATTGTTTTCTCATCACCCATATTATACCTCTTAAGTGCTTGCTCCAATTCTTCCACTGTGATGTACCTGAAATGAGCACAGGTTTAAAAGTGTTTTTTAGAAACAAAAAATGATACTCGGCTTTACATCAATATAGGGACAAAAAACAGCTATAACTATGTTATTGGTAATAGAGTAAATTGTCACCCGCTCTGGTCTTTGTCAAAATATTCAAAGGCTTTGTATAAATGGTCCTCTCTTTCCATTCTATTCATGTGCATGGTAGCTGTTATAAACTCAATGTAATCAATTGTTCCATTTCCATCCACATCAGCCTGAAAAGGAAAACAGAATTTGTCAAGTTTTGTAGGATCATGAAATTGATCATCCAAATGAGTTATGTACATGGAAGAAACATATAAAATATCGGAAGCAGTCATAAAGCTGAATGGTTTAGACTTATTATAGGTTTATGATGACTGAAACACTAAGAAGCTGATGATTCTGTTCCACCAAAGTATCCTTGGAACATTTTTACGAAAAATAGTTAGTCATGTTTAAAATGAAAGAAATGGAGAAAAGAGATTAGAAATGGATGGGTAAATGTGAAGATAAATTTCGAGCCTCATTTTCTCTTCACATTCACCTTTCCCTCCAAGAGGAGAGATTGGAGGGGGTCATGAGATTTAGATATTGTTTGATCTTTAATTATTTCAAACTGTCCTCACTTTTCTCTCTATTTCTTTGCTCACCATCGAACAAGAATAAGAAAAATGAACAGTATCTTTTCTTCTCTTTCTTGTCTCTCGTATATTTTCTTTTTCTTCTCTCTTAACTAAAATTAGCGAACCCACTAGCATCATGAAGCTCAAGTTGCACTAATAGTAAGAAGACTGGAGATATTACCGCTTCCATCAACTGTCTCACTTCAGACTCAGAAAGCTTGGTTCCCAGTTTTGGAAGACCAGCTTTTAACTCTTCAAATGTAATTGTTCCACTGTTATCTGTGTCCATGGATTTGAACATTTCCTTCAAGCCTATGATTTCCTCTTCAGAAAGATTTTCTGCAATTACCTGAAAGAAAAAATAAAGCATATGTTACTGAATTTTTAATCGCAAAATCAAGATTGATGATGCTGACACATCTCTAATCTCATGACATGGGCTCAACCAGCAGCATGCCCACACCCTAGGATTTCATTTGCACCAACCTCATTCCAATCCATGAATATGATGCTAATGAAGTTGATAAATGATACACTCACCTTCAATGCTACTTTCTTGAGTTTGTTCATTGCCCTGAACTGTTTCATTCTAGATAAAACAGCAATATCAAGAGGTTTATCAGATGCATCACCATCTTCTCTCATCCATGGATGATCTGCATTGCATTTTGAGTCGTTTAGTTTCATTTATAATTTACTAACACTAATCCAGGGATGATTTTAACAGGTAAAAAACATGAAAAGAAAATTTTCCTGTATGATTGGTCCAAACATATTCCCTTCCTCAACCTAATGACCTACATAGCCAAAGAAACTACCAAAGAGAATATGTGACAATATACCAAATGACTCGGAATAATCATAGGAAACCATATCAACTGAGCACCTTCATTCTTTCTCTTAATCCTCCAAACCTTCTGATGTACTGTATGGCTAGCTCACTTGAATGAAACTGCAACCAGGAGCATCCTCCATAATTTTCAACCTTTAATTTGTCAATTTAAAATATGATGCCAAGGAGATAATATCATGTCATCATTCCTAGAGCATGACCCCAACTACAACATGTGTAATATAATGCCCACTTCTATATAAAGAAACTAGACAAAGAAATTCTCCACGAAAAAGGCCCGAAACAACTTAAAAGAATTTTATGTCTCTAGCAGAAACCTCAAAGAAAACTTACTTAAAACGTCAACTGCTGCAAGTCGTTCCTTAGTATCAGCTCGAAGCATTTTCTTCACAAGATCTTTGGCACTGCTAGATATGGAAGGCCAGGGATCAGATGAGAAATCAATATGGCCCCGAAGAATGGCATCAAAGATACCTTGTTCATTCTCTGCATATGAAAGAAAAGTGAAGCTGAAAACCACTGCTAAACTGAGCAACTGTTACAAATGCGATAAACTGAAAATGGAAAATAACATAAAATTCATGCTGAGTGCTGACTTAATGCTTACTGGCAGATAATTGGATCACGAGGGAGGATGTAAAGAAATTAATTATGTTTTTTGCTGAAAAGAAAGCCTTGTTCTTTTTCAGGATTGGATGAAGAGGATAAAACAAAGGGGCTGAAAAGTCATCGTGAGACTTTTGGTCGTATCAATGAACCAGATGGCATACTGTCAAGGACATTATCCAGACATAGATGTATAAACCTATAATATTTAGCTTTTCATAGATTTCTACTCAGAAATCAAAAGGACTACATGGTCATGGCAGCACTTAAAGGAAAGGGTAAACAACAACAGCAGACTCAAAATTCTATTACTCTTCAGGGACAAAAGCCATACCTCCCCAAAATGGTGGGACTCCACTAAGTAGAATGTATAGTATCACCCCTGCACTCCAAATATCAGCCTCAGCTCCATAACGCCGACGCAGCACTTCGGGAGCAACATAATATGCACTTCCCACAAGATCCTTAAATACATCTCCTGCACTCAAAAATAAACTGTACATTTCAACATGAAGATCCTTAAGTACATCTCATGTACATTACTTTTGAATAACTAAACCTAAAAAACGAAGATGATAAGAAACAATTTCAAGTTTCACAATTCAAAATACAATAACACATGCTAAGTTAAAGAAGGATCTAGAACAATTGAACTCATTGTGAAACATAAGTAGCAACACTCTGGGAAAGTGGCAACCATAGCGTGCTTCTTAGTAATTCATGATTTACAAGCAGAATAGGCATGCAGGACTTTGCCCCTAATTTTGGTGCAAGCATTGAACTGTAACAACTAATGTGTTGGATGCCAAACTAAAATTCTTGCCTACAACAATGAACATTCTACATTAACTATATATATATATTTTTTTTGTTCTGGAATTCTACATTAACTATATAATAAACACAAAAATTGAAGCAAACCCAGCTCAAGTTAAAGACTGCAACTTTGGTCTTCGAAAGTAGCAAAAATTTAGCTAAACCATGCCATTACAGTAAAAAACTACTGTAAAAACAAAACTACACATGAAATTCGAACAACCAAAGCTGACCTGGCTTGAAAAACACAGAGAGCCCGAAATCGGTGGCCTTGAGCGGCGAGTCCTCGTCCTTACTCAAGAGTAAGAAATTCTCCGGCTTTAAATCCCTATGCATCACCCCCATCGAATGACAGTAATGCACGACAGTGACGATCTGACGGCAGAGATTCGCCGCAGCTCGCTCGGAGTAATGGCCTTTAGCGATAATCCGATCGAAGAGCTCGCCGCCGGCGCAGAGCTCCATGACGAGGTTAACGGAGTGCTTGTCCTCGTAAGCTCCCTTGAGCTCGACGATGTTGCGATGGCCGGTGAGGTGGTGCATGATCTGGACCTCACGGCGGACGTCTTCGACGTCGTCGTGGTTGATGAGCTTGCGGGTGGCGATGGATTTGCAGGCGAACTGCTGCTTGTTGTGCTTGTGGGTGACGAGGTAGGTGACGCCGAATTGGCCGCGGCCGAGCTCGCGGCCAAAGGTGTAGGTGGCGCGGACGTCTTCCATGGGGCGGCCGAGGACGCGGCCGATGGGAGGCGCGGCGGAAGCTGCGGTGGTTGTGGGTGGGTGGGGCTGGGGTTTGGGTGGGGCGGGGGCATTGGGAGGGAGGACCCGAACGCCGCCGTTAGATGGGTGGTGGTGGCGCGGATCAGGTGCGGTGGAGTCTTGGGCGGAGGGCAGGGCGCCGCTGCTGCAGCTGTTGCCCATTTTGGTCAATTTAGGGGTCAAGGGAGATGAAGTCTTTGAGAATTTGTTTTGGTCTTTGAGATTTTAGGACGGGGAAATGCTTAACAGCGTGTCGTTGTCAACGGCGACTTGTCTGGAGTTAGTGTCTCCAGTGTCGTGGTGGGTGGTGGTGAAATGACTATAATGGACTTCATGGGGGGTTGACCACAAAGGTTAATTTTTCTTTATTTTTTTTATTAAAAAAACTACTAATAGCCAGGATTTCAGTAATGGCATTTATTCTACTGTTCTTCAACGGAGTAATATCCTAAATGTTGAAATTTAAGAAAACTGATGGGTTTCATAAAGATGTCTCAACTTCTAATTTATGTTTTGATAACTGATATTACGAATCAGGTCAAATATTAACACATGTATATAATCATAAAGATGTCTCGAATTTGAATCTCTGTTTTCAATTTCGATAAACCGATATCACGTGTATCATATGTACTAAATTTAGGTCAAACACTAACACACCTATGATCGTAAATTTTGTGAAGGACAATGGGAATGGTACACACACTCTTCCAGGAGTGGTCCTTGCTTGCTTTATTTACCCATGTTAAGATCATCTCTCACAATTCACAAACCAAAATCAGAACCTGGAGAAAGAAAATGATGGCATTGTATATTTCCACAAAGTTGGCCATCTGGTACAATGTTTGAAAAAATGAATTATTTGAAGTAGCTTCTGCATGCCCTTGAATAACGACCTTGTATTTTTGCTTGGTGGGGTGGGGCGGGAGGTGTTCCATTTGCATTCCCGCAACCCCTCCTGCATATGGGATCCTTATTTCAATCACCTAGGCATCCAATTCCACCATGCGTTGGTTGTGCTTTCATTATAAATTGTATGAAAACTACCCTGGCCAACTCATTAAGCTGGCAAGGAAAGATAACATGTAGATATAAATAAAAGTTTAGAAATATGATGTGTGTACTGTGGTTTGATAAAATTCGTCTACATATTTGTAGACTTTATAGAATTAAGTTTTGTAGAAATATCACATGAATTTATACATCAGTTTCAATCTATCACCTTAAAGAAAAATTTAAGAGAAATGACACCTTAATGTTTCAAAATCCATGATTTGTCATCTAACTTTAACATCATTCAATTTTTCATCAATTTTTAAGGGTATTTTAGTGTTTCCATTTTCAAGAGTATTTTAAAAATGAAAAAATCATTATTATTTTAAAAAAAAAATTAAATGCAAAAATGGTCTTTGTGTTTTAACATATTGGCCAATTTAAACCCTGTGTTTTCAATTTGGCCAATTCGGTCATTGTGTTTAGGATCGTTAGCCAATATTGCACATTTCGTTAAATTTTATGTTAAATACACATGATATACTTTTTTTTAATCTTTTGGAAACTTATAAACCCTTTTGAACTCGCAGTTGGGGTGAGGTGGATCAGAGTTGGGGTGGTGGGTTGTTATTGGGGAGAAAGAGAAGAGAGAACAACGGTGGCTCGCGGTTGGGATTGGATGTGGTGTCTTTCATTTTTTTCATTTTTTAGTTTTATGTCTTTTTAAAAAATTTATTTATTTATTAAGTTAACTCTTATTTATCTATTTTAAATTGTATTCAAATAGTTATGTTTTTTTAATAAATATTTAAATAGTTTCAAATTATTTTAACATAAAATTTAACGAAAAGACTAAAATACTCTTTAAAATGAATGAAAAATTAAATGATGTTAAAGTCAGATGACAGATCATAAATTTAAAAAAATTAAGGTGACATTTCTCTTAAATTTCCCTTTAAGGTGTCAAATTGAAACTGAGGTCTAAGTTCATGTGACATTTCTACAAAAAATCTCTAGAATAAAATCCAACCCAAATCTGATTAGCAATGCATGAAAAGTTTCGCGACGTTGTATACCGTTATATATACTTCAATGTGGGATAGTATTCTCGAGGACAATATTGAAGGCAAAGGCAACGCGCCATATACACACAAAATAAATATTCGATGTGCATGATTAGCCACATTCTGACCCCTCAATTAGCGCTATAGATTTAGTCACACATTTTTCCATCTCCATTATCTGCCTCAATCAATTCTCTCATGGTAATGCTCATGAATTAATTAATTTATCACGTACGTCACTTTATTCCTCGAATATGTTACCATGCATGGCATATATTTCTATGTCAAAGTTCAGGAATAAATTAGGCATAAAATGATGAAATATGATATATATATATATATATATATATGGGGCGGATCCGTGGCACCATATTTTTGACACAAGTTTTAGACCTTTAGATTTATAAACTTTTAATGGTTGAGATGTACTTTCATTTCTCAAAACAATAAATTTTCTTCAATTTATATTTATTCGTTGGGATTAAAATTGTGATACCATATTAATTAAGAATTCATTCTCTCTCTCATCTCATTAATTATCTTTAATTAGTTCTTTCCCTTTCCTACTAGATTCTTTTGTTCCTTCGCTGCCTCTGCATTTTTTACTCTCTCTTTCTTCTACATTCATCATTCGCCTGCGATCTTCTCTTCTCTACGAATGACATCTTCTATATGGTCTGTGGAACAAAGAAATCTTCCATATTTTCTCTACTAATTTGGATTTTCTTCGAGTTTCTCATATGCTATGCTATGTTTTAGCTCTAACTTTATATTCAACATCTTCAAAACCAATATTTAAAAAATTCGCCCCTATATATATATATATATATATATATATATATATATATATATATATATATATATATATATATATATATATATATATATATATATATATATATATATATATATATATATATATATATATATATATATATATATATATATATATATATATATATATATATATATATATATATATATATATATATATATATATATATATATATATATATATATATATATATATATATATATATATATATATATATATATATATATATATATATATATATATATATATATATATATATATATATATATATATATATATATATATATATATATATATATATATATATATATATATATATATATATATATATATATATATATATATATATATATATATATATATATATATATATATATATATATATATATATATATATATATATATATATATATATATATATATATATATATATATATATATATATATATATATATATATATATATATATATATATATATATATATATATATATATATATATATATATATATATATATATATATATATATATATATATATATATATATATATATATATATATATATATATATATATATATATATATAGTTACTATGGATTTGTGTTAAAGAGGAAAGAAAGGACATGTTTGTGCTTAAATCATTGAGGCAAAGGGATAGAAAGAGGATAAGCAGTGCATGAGCAGAGAATGCTGAGGTCTGAAAGGATGAGGGATAGAGAAAATTCTTCGATGTAATTATTTGGACAAGTTGTGCATATACCAGAACAAGCAACCATTGATCAAGATTTTGATCACGAGGAAGAGCAGTCTTATTCATAGGTCATATTCCTACACACACCAAGAATCAGCGCAGAGGCTTCCTTGTGAAAGGAGATGTAGCTTCTGAGTTCTGGGTTCCATAAATATTCCTCTTTGCTTCACCTCTTTTCCCTTTCTTGGTAAATATTTTTTAGCAGCTCCTTAATTCAGGTTTGGAATTTTATTCATGTGAATCAAAATTCCAGTCCCCTTCTACCCATCTGATCCATACCATATCACTTGAACCAAAAGCCACATGCATATAATACACTAGTTTTTTTATATTCAAATCGCAAGAATTTGTTAAGCTTTTAGGGCATAGTGGTCATCTAACATCGTACGATCGAGAACTCTAGTTTCAAAAGGTCCTGGGGTCCAAACCTCCAAACCTTATTCTCACATATTTTAATTATTTCTTGTAATATAAGGCCTTGTATTTGTCTGACATGATTGATTCACTTGATTACAAAGCGAGATCAACATTGTGGTCATTGCTTTGCTAAATATGGTACAAATAGTTAATTTTATATCCTTATATGACAAATAGGAATTGTATTTACTGAAATTACCACCTTAATTATATGGCGAAGATGATCGATATTTTGAAAAGGAAAACGTGTCTGGCAATTGAAAACTACATTTCAGATTCTAATTCTCTATCCATGCATGCAGCATTATTGATATTAAGCATCTTTTTATCCTGAGGGTTTAGCGACGATAAGTTTTTCTTCTATTATTGTCGTATTGTATTCTTCCCATCTATATATGACATCCTGACTTGACGTACTTTTTTCTACTACTTGCCAACAAACACAGCTACCACCCTCCTCTTTAAAACCTACTCTCTTCTCTTCTAATCACACACCAACTACAGTTTAAGATCCCTCCTCCTTGTTTCCCTTGTCTCCCCTGCTTCAATTCACTGATCAGTTTTTGGCAAAGCACTTTTCTTATAAGCACTTAATTTGACAATACGGGGCTCTTATAGTAAGAGCACCTTAAATCAGAGTTGGGGAAGGCTATATTGTTGCATTGGAGAATGAATGGAAAAAAGGGTAGTAATATTGAGATTAGCATCAACATCCCTTCTTCCATGGCCAAACAGCTTGACCAAGCTGGCAAGAAATCCAGCAATGGAGGAGGAGGCTTCTCCTTTAAGGCTTGGGGGTTGAAAGTCTGGGAATTTGCCAAAGAAGATAGCAACAGAGTGAAGTTCTCTTTGAAAGTAGGGCTGGCTGTGCTTCTTGTGTCTTTGCTTATACTCTTCCGAGCACCTTATGAAGTTTTTGGCACCAATATCATTTGGTCCATTCTCACTGTTGCCATCATGTTCGAATACACAGTTGGTATGTACACATGCACATACAATTTTCTCCATGCATGCACACATATTATAAATTCATTTTAGTTCATCCCTCGCATGAATGAAGATCTGACATTAATAGTATTCGGCATGGGTTGTGATTGGCTGGTACTGGGCACCAATCTACAATACTTAACCAAATACCCAGGATATGCCATCTACTTGGTTGATATAAGGTAATATTGACCAAATATGAACTTAGTCTGTACAAAATATGCATTGAATATCTACGATATCACGTT